AAGGCCTTTTCTGCATCTATTGAGATAATCACGTGGTTTTTGTCTTTGGTTCTGTTTATATGCTGGATTACATTTATTGATTTGAGTATGTTGAACCATCCTTGCATCCCAGGGATGAAGCCCACTTGATCATGGTGGATAAGCTTTTTGATGTGCTGCTAGATTTGGTTTGCCAGTATTTTATTGAAGATATCTGCATCAATGTTCATCAGGGATATTGGTCTAAAATTCTCTTTTTTTGTTGTGTCTCTGCCAGGCTTTGGTATCAGGATGATGTTGGTCTCATAAAATGAGTTAGGGAGGATTCTCTCTTTTTCTATTGATTGGAATAGTTTCAGAAGAAATGCTTGATTGGAATAGTTTCAGAAGGAATGGTACCAGCTCCTCCTTGTACCTCTGGTAGAATTCAGCTGTGAATCCGTCTGTTCCGTGGACTTTTTTTGGTTGGTAGGCTATTAATTATTGCCTCAATTTCCGAGCCTGCTATTGGTCTATTCAGGGATTCAACTTCTTCCTGGTTTAGTCTTGGGAGAATGTAATACAAACTACCATCAGAGAATACTATAAACACCTCTACACAAATAAACTAGAAAACCTAGAAGGAATGGATAATTTCCTGGACACTTACACTCTCTTCTTTGCTTTCTTGGGGTTCCTCAGTGCCCCTTGATAGCATGCCTGGACACCACTGTCTGTCCTGGTATTACCCCAGCTGCCTCACAGACACACTCCCAACCCATCTTCCCCTATGGAATGATAGTTCCAGGTGTGGTTGCCTTTGCCCCACCTTGCATTTGTCCTCATTTCCACATTTCCTGGACAGTAGTGAGAAGCGGGAGCCCCTGGGCTTTGAGGCCAGGGCAGGGCCCTGCTAGGGCCAGGTTGAAGGGAGGCAGTGAGCTCATGGGTCAGTGAATTTTTTGCTGATACCTTCCTTGGGGAACTTAGGTGTCTATATGCCCCAACAGCCCCCTCCATACCTCACCAGATTTTATTCTCACCCCCATCTGACCCAATTTCTGCCCACACCATCCAATCCAGAATCAGATCCAAAGAGGAGTAAGGAGTGCCCATCTCCTGTCCTGAAGCTCTCCTTCCACCAGGAACTCAGAAAGAAGTCCAGTGAAGTGGGGATTGAGGACAGGATGGTTAGGACAGGTCTTCTGTCCCACACAACCTCTTTTCCTCCACCAGCGGAGCAGGGGCCCTCTGTGGCAGTTCCTTGGCGTTGGGCTCTGGCTTGTCTTTTCCAGGGGTTCAACAGGATGTTCTTGGGATTCTAGGCATCGTGGAGGGCTGAAAAGGCTGAAGAAACATCAAGGGGAGCCCCAGAAATGCACTGTGGGATCCCAGCCTCAAGCCCGCCTAGATAGTGTGAGTGAGTCTCCCCAAAAGTTGTCCCTCCTGTCACCTTGAGGACTGGCCTGTGTCTCAAGGCTGCTCTCTTCCTGGAGGGACTTCCTCACAGAGAGCAGAACCCTACAGCCTCAGGAACTGCCTGAGTGTGTGTTTCTGTGTCACTGTTGTATGTCTGTGTGTATGAATGTAATTTTGTGTTTTTGTATGTCTATGTGTGGTGTCTAGTGAAATAGTCTTCATTTTGCGTTTGTTCCCAGTTCCATATGGCAGTTGGCTGTGATTTATCATGGGTGAGCTCTAGCCTGTTCCATGACCTCCATCTTTTTTTGTCTTCCCTATTTCTGATGGGTCTAGATTTTTGTCAGGCTCAATCTTATCAACAAAAATCATTTTTCCGGTTCATCAGGGACAACATTCTTGGGGATCCACTTCCATAGTGCTTCTTTCTCCACATTTATTTGTTAATGATTGGGCAGGTGTGATTATTATGGAGTTGTGGGTTTCCATTCCTTTTACCAACAAGCTGACTCTGTCTCTGTGCCTGTTCAAATGGCTTCATTAGTCACAAGATGATTATCTAGCCATAGTCAGTCTTGTCATTCTAATAAACATTGTGTTCAATTTCATCGACATTTTTCTTTTTTTTTTTTTTTTTTTTTTTTTTTTTTTTTTTTTTTTTTTCATAGTGGTGGTTCTCACTCCCCCCCCTCCCTCCCCTCCTCCAGTACTATATCCCCACTGTGTTTTTTTTTTTTTTTTTTTATTTCAATTCATTCTGACTTGATGGTTTCCAATGTGGATTCAGTGAGCACCGCTTCTTTTCCTTTTTGAGTGATACGTACTTTTTCCCCTTTGTGACTGCACTGGAGTCAAGCCTTTTCAGGTCTGCAGTTCTTCTATTTAACCTATTCCTGTATTTCCGTTTGACCCTCGGCTTGTGATTTTTTTTTTCCATTATGGTTCCTGTTTGGGTATTTTAGAGCTTGCATTATTTGCTGTTTGCCTCTGATTTAAAGGGGAGTCCAAAGGGCATACCTTAAGCCCTAATTTTGACCTTTAATGGAGTGTCCAAGGCAACCCAGTTGTGATTATTCAGACCTGAGTAAGGGAAGATAGCAGCCAGCTCTTTTTCTGGCACCAACTCCACCTTTCTCCTTGCTTCTGTGTGAGCCTGGTGTCTGGAAGTTCAAACTGATCCTCCAACAGCATATGTACGTGGCACTAGCAGTGAATTTGCATCTCAGTGACCTCTGTGGTTGCCCTGGATGAGTCCCTGCAGCATTAGATCCAGGAACTCTGCAGCTGTATATTGGGTTTAGGTTCTGGCCTATTTCCTTCAAGAGGTCAAGCAGAAGTTGCAGGGATTCTAGGTGTTGAGGAAGCTGACCAGGCTGACAAAACTTCAGGAGCAAAGGATACACCATGGGATCCTTCCCTCAGACTGATCTGAGGGCGTGCATGTGACTCTCCTGCAGTGTTTCCACTGTTACCTGGAGGCTGGGCTAACATGTGTGCCTGTGGCTTGCTGTGTCCCTCATGCAGTGTTCTCTATACTCATCCTCAACTATCTTTTCAAGCTTTTGCTTCTATCACTCCAAAGTCAATCCACCAGAAATCAAGAAAAAAAAACCTGTGTTCTTCTCAAGGTTACTGATACAGAAAATGATAAATTCAATAGCCATTTCAAACCTCGTGTTGTATAATCAGTCTGCCAAAGCTATCTGATACCTGTTGATTCTCCTTCAATTCACTTTTATTTGACTTTGGTGATTCCACAGTTTCTTGGTTTTCCTCTATTATTGGTTCTTTTTTGTTTTTTTTGAGACAGAGTCTCACTCTGTAGCCCAGGCTGGAGTGCAGTGGTGCAATCTTGGCTCACTGCAGGCTCTGCTTCCTGGGTTCATGCCATTCTCCTGCCTCAGCCTCCCAAGTAGCCGGGACTACAGACACCCGCCACCATGCCCGGCTAATTTTTTGTAGTTTTTTTTTTTTAGTAGAGACGGGGTTTCACTGTGTTAGCCAGGATGGTCTCGATCTCCTGACCTCATGATCCACCCACCTTGGCCTCCCAAAGTGCTGGGATTACAGGGGTGAGCCACCACACCCGGCTCTTAGTTTCTTTAGTGTTGTTTATTGTTGAACTCTTAATGTTTGAATGCTCCATGATTCAGTCCTTGCTGTTCTTTACCTTTTCTATACTAAAATCCTTAATCATTTAAATGAATATGGGCAATACCTACTAAAGTAATATAATATCAATTTTGGTATATCTCATACATCAAGTGCCTATTCACTACTGGCATTTTGTGTCTTAAAGACATCTAAAGATTCAACATATTCAGTTGAACTCTCAATCTTCCCCTAAAACCCTGCTGGAACTGAAGTTTTCCCCATCTTGGTTGAAAACCTTGTATTCCCAGATGCTCATGACTAAAACCTTTGAGTTAAAGTCACCCTGGACTTGTCTCTTTTACTTCTAGCCCTTAAACAAATCTTGCTTGCTGTCACATTTACTATATACCTAGAATACAACCAATAACCACTATACCCATTGTTACCTCTTCTTCCTAAGCCATGATATCCTCTTTCATCTGAGTTACAACAACTTCCTCCTCGATTTTTTTTTTTCAACAGCCGTGTTTCCCTCAAAATAAAGTATCTACAATGGCTTGCACGCTTGGCAAGATATGGCTCTCTGTTCTACTCTAGCAACCATCCCTTTGCACAGTGTTCTTCAATAACTTCCCCAATTTTCCTAAAACACTTCAGCATAGTTCCATTGTAGGACCTCTCTCCTCTGCCTGGAGTCACCACACTCCTTCAAGTCTTGGCTCAAGTCTATGGCCTCAAGTCTATCTTTCCTTGATTGGTCATATCTCTCCTGTTTTTTTTTTTTTTTTTTTTTTTTTTTTTTTTTTTTTTTTGGTTGATCTTTTTCTTGATGGTCTACCTTCATCTCTGTATTTCACAAAGCAACCTAAATGATCATATCCCTCCATCTTTTGAATGACTTTTTCCCCATAACACTTATGTTCTAATGTACTCTATATGTATGATTATCTTCTCCTGTTAGAATTGTTCACTGACAAATATCCAAAACACCTAAGATAGTGGCTGGAATATATTAAGTACCTAATAACTGACCACCTTTAGAACAATAGGCTCCTGTGAAGAAAGCGTAACCATGCTTACTAGAAGACTGCCTTTGTATGCATTGGCACTGGTCTAATTTCTTGTTCAGATTGTCACATTAAATCATTGTAAGTGGATTAAGGGTAGAGGACTGAGGGCCTGCCATCATAGATAACATCTTACCAAAGCAATATTGCTTTCAATTGCTGCTAGTGGGCTGCCTAGGTCTACTCTAAATTTATCTCGTTCACAAGACATTACTGAAAGCAGCAAGAAACATGTAACACACATATTCTGAATCACTTCTAGCATTTCTTCTAACATTACAGCATCGACTTGATATAAAGCATGCTTGTAAGAGTGGGAGGCAGTGACAAAATGTCCTATTACAAGGATCTTCCAATTCCTAGCTTAATTTGGGCAGTTCCTCATTCTCAATGGCCCTAAGTCAATACCCCATTTGAGATTTCTTTTACCCATAGCATCCCACTTCCAGGTACAAAATTTTATTTCCTTAAGAATTTTTATTGCCAATAACAGAACTACAATAGCATCAGCAAATAAGAAGTTTAATTTCATTTAAAGAAACACAGGAGGCAAGCAGACCAGAGCTACTATGGCTGTTTCACAAAGTCATCTGGGTTGCAGACTCCTGCTGTATTTCTGCTCCATGATCCATAACACCCAGATACCATTCTCAAAGTCCCCATGATAGTGTCAGAGCTCCAGCTTAGATGTCCACATTGTAGGCAGGAAAAAAAAGACAGGAAAAATGGATTTCATAAATCTCCTACTCATATAAATACCACTTCTATCTTGTTGACCTGCAAGAAAGGCTGAGATAGTTTTTCAGCCCAGAATTTTGTTAATAAAAAAGAGAAAATAGATATAGGGTAGGAAAAAAGCAGTCTCTATCACAAACTCTCATCACTTTTCATTGCAAAATAGTCTGTAATATCAGTTCTTATTTTGTTTACTTCAAAAGCAATACATTCAAGTTTTAAAAAATTTCGTAGATTTATTAGACTTTGGATCTTAGACTTTGTTAAATCACTTCACACCTTGCCCCAATTCTCTAACAGCTGTGCTCAATAATCCACTGATTAAATCCACTGGTTGTTTTTTTTTTTTTTTTTAACAGTATGAATTTCCTCTTATAGCACTAATGGATGAGATTTAAATGACAGCTTTCTCACATTCATTATGGCATACAGTGCTCTCCACCCAAGTCATCTAGTATGTGTTGATAAAAGGTTTCTCAATATTCATTACACTCATAAGTGCTCTCCTCTCATGCAAATTCTCTAAAATAACATTAGTGAAAATGGTAGCTAATATTTGTGGTATGCTATGTTCAAGGCACCATTCTAAGAGCTTTTACATGTAATAACTTAATACTTCCAAGAATCTTATAATAAAGGTAATATACTTAGGTCTATCTTAAAATGATTAAACCAAGGTAGAGGTTAAGCATGATCCATATAACAAAAAGATCAACTAGTAGAGCTAATAATTTTGAAAAAGATACTTGTTTTCAATATGGCTAAAGGGCTTCCTACCTTTACTATATTAAAACTATTCTCCAATTTGCTAATGTGTAATAGGTTTCCAGTAATGATAGGTTTTTCTATATGAATGACACTAACATTTTTTCTCTCACATAAATTCTCTGATGCTGTGCTTTATGAGGCAAATATGCGCCCATATTCACATTTGTGAGAATTCTTTGCTGATAACAACCAGAGAACCTCTTCATAGTGATCTCAAAGAATCAGACAATTCACATGTAAACTTGAGAGTCACGACTAAGGTCAATCCCACATTCCTTATATTCAAAAGATTTCTCACTGATATGAATTCTCTGATGTTGAGTTAGCTGTGAACCACGAGTAAAGGCCTTCCCACATTCCTTACATTGATATGGTTTCTCACCAGTATGAATTCTCTGATGCCGAGAAAGATGTGAGCTCTGAGTAAAGGCCTTTCGACATTCTCTGCATTCATAGGGCTTCTCACCAGTATGGATTCTCTGATGTAGAGTAAGCTGAGAGCCATGACTAAAGGCCTTGCCACACTCCTTGCATTCATAGGGTTTTTCTCCAGTGTGAATTCGCTGATGTTGAGTCAACTGTGAACCACGAATAAAGGCTTTCCCACATTCCTTACATTGATACGGTTTCTCACCAGTATGAATTCTCTGATGTTGTATAAGTAGTAAGCCACGCGCAAAGGCCTTTCCACATTCATTACACACATAGGGTTTCTCACCAGTGTGAAGTCTTTGATGTTGGGAAAGATGTGAACTCTGAGTAAAGGCCATTCTACATTCTTTACATTCATAAGGTTTCTCACCAGTATGGATTCTCTGATGTTGAGTAAGCTGTGAGCCACGAATAAAAGATTTCCCACATTCCTTACATTCATAGGGTTTCTCACCTGTGTGAATTCGCTCATGTTGAGTAAGTTCTGAGCCACGACTAAAGGTTTTTCCACATTCTTTACATTCATAGGGTTTCTCACCAGTATGAATCCTCTGGTGTCGTGTAAGGAGTGAGCCACGATTAAACGCCTTTCCACATTCCTTACATTGATAGGGTTTCTCACCAGTATGTATTCTCTGATGTTGAGTAAGTTGTGAGCCATGACTAAACATCTTTCCACATTCCTTACATTCATAGGGCTTTTCATTGGTGTGAATTCTCTGGTGCTGAGTAAGTTGTGAGCCACGGATAAACGCCTTCCCACATTCTTCACATTTATAGGGTTTTTCACCAGTATGAATCCTCTGATGTTGCATAAGTAGTGAGCCGCGAATAAAGGCCTTTCCACATTCCTTACATTCATAGGGTTTTTCCCCATTATGAATTTTCTGATGTTGAGAAAGCTGTGAGCCACAAATAAAAGCTTTTCCACATTCCTTACATTCATAGGGTTTCTCACCGGTATGAATTCTCTTATGCAGAATAAGTTGTGAGAGCTGAGTAAAGACCTTCCTACATTCTTTACATTCATAGAGCTTTTCACCAGTATGCAGTCTCTGGTGTAGTGTAAGTTGTGAATTCTGAGTAAAGGCCTTCCCACATTCTTTACATTCGTAAGGTTTCTCACCAGTATGAACTTTCTGATGTCGGGTAAGTTGTGAGCTACGAATAAAGGCTTTCCCACATTCTTCACATTTATATGGTTTTTCACCAGTATGAATTCTATGATGTAAAATAAGTTGCGAGCTTTGAGTAAAGGCCTTCCCACATTCCTTACATGCATAGGGTTTCTCACCAGTATGAAGTCTCTGATGAAGACTGAGTTGTGAATCACGACTAAAGGCCTTCCCGCACTGCTTACATTCATAGGGTTTTTCACCAGTATGAATACTTTGATGTTGTGTTAGGTGTGAGGCTCGTCTGAAGGCTTTCCCGCATTCCTTACATTTATAGGGTTTCTCAGTAGAATGACATCTTGAATGTTGAGATAAGTAAGTATGCTGGTTGAAAATGGACATTTTGTCATATATGATCATCCCTTGCCTGAAATACTCCTTCTGATTTTCTTGTTGCTTCTCCATCTTGCCTTTGGCTTCCAAATAATCCCTGGATTTGGACTCTTCAAGATCACACTTTTCAAGTCTGTCGCTCATTTCCCATTGGGATAATTCTGTTTCATAAGTGTTCTTTTCTGGAGATAAGTCCTTACTTGCACACCTTGAAGGCAAGTCTGAAAGATAAGAGAGAATAAAAAAAATTGAGAAATATAACTTCTATAGCAAATACAAATAGGAAAATAATACCCATAAGAAATAACAAACACACATGAGTTTCTTTCAAATATTGATTACTATGACCCATGATACCTACCTTTCACATCACAACGTACTATATACACAGTTTCATAAAACAGTACCTCCCCTGCTTTCTATTCTGTTCTGCAATATTTCTACTTTTTTCAATTTCTCTCTCTCATACACACACAGACAAAACCCACTAAACTGATTTCATGGTACAGTAATGTTCCTATCTAGAATTTTAAAAAAAATTAGCTTAGAAGGATCTCATATATTAATATATGAAAAGGGCATCTGAGAGATTAGAGAATAATGAAAACTCACCTAGAATATAATGGAAGAGATTAAGAAAAATTTTAAAGTGAGTAGTTCCCAAGCTTTGATGGGGATCAAAATCACCTGGGGAGCATGCTAAAATTATAGCTGTCCAACATTACACCAGACTAACTGCTAATTAATCAGAAAAAGATCCTGGAGATCTCTACTTTTAATACTTCCTATTAACTGATTCAAATTCAGACCATAATTTTCTGTATCTGCTTAATACTTTTTAGTAGCTTCCATGTTAAACTTAATATAAAATCCAAACTCTTCAATGACTTTGACTTATTTCTCCTTCCATGGTCTTGTCCTTGCTTATGTATCTGTTGAGCCTTCTCAGCTTTGCTCCTTATTTGCCAGAAAAACTAGCTTCCTTTCAACTCTGAAAAAGTCACAGACCTTTTTCAATTAAAAGCTAGCCAGAGCCTATTCCATTCCTTTGAACTGCTCTGGATAAGACTATACAAACGCTCTTTCTCATTCTTCAGGTCTCAATTTAATAATCAGTCCCTAAATCTTAAACATTCATTTCTTGTAATTTAGGTAACTTAGACCAACCTTCTAGATGACAGCAATTACACAAATTGAACAAATTATAAAATGCACCTGAGTGAAGGCACTGGCACAGTAACATAAGAATAAAGACTGGGGGGCTAAAAGTTGAAAAATATGAGAAGTCAAAGAGATGAGCCCAACATTTGGGTCCACGTTTCCACTCAGAGAAGTCTTAAATTTCTAGAAAAAGCACTTAAGAGGGGTAGAAACTAAGCAGTGTTTTGCACTGTGTCACAGGGCTGGGCAACAATAACTGGAGGACAGGGCCTGCCATAAATTCTTTATACTTTGGGCTGGGAACCCTGAGGACTACACTGAGGAATAAAGGAGAAACAGCAGACCAATCTGGACAGAGTCTGAAGTCTGAATCATCTTTGAATCGTCTCAAATTCAAAAATTTGGATTAAGGTGATTCAACACTGTTTGCCATAGCAAACTTAAATCTTTATGGATTTTGTATCATGTTATCCAAGGACTGAAATTCTGTAACTTTTCTTTGTGATGTCTAGCACTCAATAAAAACCAGGTGAATGAAAGCATAAGACAACTGAAAAACAGAAGAAAAAACAAAAGAAACTCTGACCTATAAGGACTCAAATCATGTATCCACCCACCATCATACTTCTGTCACTCCTAAATACCCTTGTCCTTTTCCTCTGTAATCAACCCTCCATACCACCCTAGTGGTATATGCCTAGAAACCAGTAATCTGTGGTTTCCCTATAACTTCCTTATAGATAGAAACAAAAGCACCTCCATACTAAATCTATGATCCTATGTGCCTCTCCAATTGCTCTTTAGCTCCCCCTATCCCTTTCAAATAGGACAATAAGTTACTTTTGTTTACTTATCCTTACTTCACAGTTTCCTTTGTTCCTTCATGCCTTGCCTCGTGTCTTCTCTTATTTGCTTGTCTATTCAAGGACAATTGTGTGTGTTCTGGGAAGAATACATCCTAGAGTTCCCAATCACTACTACAGGTCTAAAACATAATGAAAGGGTTCTATAATCTCATGGAATGTTGGAGAGAAAAAAGGCAATTATTCAGGCCAGACCCAGTGGCTCATGCCTGTAATCCCAGCACTTTGGGAAGCCAAGGCAGGTGGATCATTTGCGGTCAGGAGTTTGAGACTAACCTGGCCAACATGGTGAAACCCCGTTTCTACTAAAAATACAAAAAGTTAGCCAGGCATGGTGGTGGGTGCCTGTAGTCCCAGCTACTTGGGAGGCTGAGGCAGGAGAATCGCTTGAACCTGGGAGGTAGAGGTTGCAGTGAGCTGAGATCGTGCTACTGCACTCTAGCCTGGGTGACAGTGTGAGACTTCATCTCATAAAAACAAACAAAATACGAAATCAGCTGGGTGTGGTGGCAGGTGCCTGTAATCCCAATTACTTGGGAGGTTGAGGCAGGAGAATCACTTTAACCAGGGAGGCGGAGGTTACAGTGAGTCAAGATCTCACCACTGCACTCCAGCCTGGGCAACAGAGTGAGACTCCTTCTCAAAAAAAAAAAAAAAAAAAAAAAGCAATTATCCAATATAAGGGAAGGAATCTGCAGTGATAAAGAATATATTTCAGTTGGAAATACAAATCAAGAAACAGAACACAAAAAAATCTCAAACACTGTTGCTAAGAATGCAAAACACTGTAACTATGGTAAAAAAAAAAAGTGTGGTAGTTTCTTATAAAGTTAAGCATACATTTAGCGTATGATACAGTGGTCATATTAGTAGATATTTACACTTATGCTCACACAAACATCTATATGTCAAAGATTATAACAGCTTTATTCAGAAGTGTCCCAAACTGGAACTACCAGATGTCCCTCAAAAGGCAAATGAATCAACAAACTTTGGCACTTCCAGACACTGGAACATTACTCAGCAATAACAAAAACGAAGTATTGATTCATGCAACATTACTCAACATTAACAAAAAATTACTGATCCATGCAACAATATGGATAAATCTTAAATATATTTTGCTAAGTGAAAAATACCATATTTTGATTCTATTTATATGACATTCTTGAAAAAGCAAAACTATATGGATGGAATTTGGTGAGTAGGTTTCATAGGCTGGGGATGGGGAAAGGGGAGGGGTTGACAATGAAAGGAGAAAGCATGAGGGAATTTAGGGATGGTTAATAGAACTGTTGTATATTATGACTCTGATAGTAGGTAGATACACTTGGTATCTGAATGGTATATCAGATTTCCCAACAAACACCAATAAATGGTGGATAAATATGACAAACATCCTTTTAAAAATACAGACAAGGTTAAGGCTGGGCACAGTGGCTCATGCCTGTAATACCAGCACTTTGGGAGGCTGAAGTGGGTGGATCACGCAGTCAGGAGATTGAGACCATCTTGGCTAACAGGTGAAACCCCGTCTCTACTAAAAATACACAAACACACAAATTAGCCAGGCGTGGTGGTGTGCACCTGTAGCGCCAGCTACTCAGGAGGCTGAGGCAGGAGAATCACTTGAACCTGGGAGGTGGAGGTTGCAATGAGCCAAGATTGCGCCACTGTACTCCAGCCTGGGTGACAGAGCGAGACTCCGTCTCAAAGACAAGGTTAAAAGAAAATAAAGATCAAGCAATGAAGTGAGAGCCAGAAACTGGAGAGGTGAACATGCTCTGAAGTTAGAGCCTTCATGTCCTACCCTTGGGACATTTGCTGGTTTCAATAGCCTAAGGTTGTGTCTTAGTGTTCTGAAAAAATTCAAGAGACAAGCCCTTCACCCACAAAAGGGCAGGGATTAGAAATAAACCACTTTACAACATTGGAACCTATTCAAGGCCTAAAGTTCAGAGACAGGAAAAAATCCATCTGCCCTCAGTCTTGGCCATTTTTTAAAAATTGACTTTTACTGTGAGTTGGGGAGCCAAAATTAATAAATACAAAGATAGTTAATGGGAAAGTGCAGAAGCTAGATGGATAGAAATTAGGTGGCTACAACAATAATGCACCTTGCTCAGACCAGATGATCGTGGAGGTAAGGGTGGAGGAAGTGAGGTATCATTAGATAGTGGATATATTTTGAAGGTATACTAAAGAGGATTTGTTGGGGGAATGGACATGTAACATGAAAAGAGAAGACAAGGAAGACTATGCATGTTTTGCCTGAAAGGCTAGAACAATCGAAGTGCTACTTACTGAGAGTTCCTGACTGTGATGGGGCAGATCTGGGAGAGAATGTGAAGAGTCTGGTTTTGAACTATTAGATGTCAAATGAAGAGTTCAATAGACACATATGTACAAGTATGTGACTCTAGGGAGGTGTCTGGATTACAGATATAAGTTTGAAAGTCATCACGAAGTAACATTTAAAGCTACAAGATTTGATGAAGTCACCCAGGGCATACCTTTATATACAAAACAGAAGGGGAAGGATGAAAAAGGGAAGTTTGAGGATTGAACCCTGGGTCACTTCAGGTAGATGGGAAGGAAACAGCAATGGAGACTAAGGAGGAGTAGCTAATGAGGAAGGAGAAAAATTAAGAGAGCACGGAACCCCATAAGCCATGTGAAAAAAGTGTTTTAAGAAGGAATGATTGGTTATGTCAAATGCCGAGAGATGAGGTGAAATGGTGCAGTCTTTTTTTTTTTGAGACGGAGTCTTGCTCTGTCACCCAGGCTGGAGTGCAGTGGTGCGATCTCTGCTCACTGCAAGCTCCGCCGCCTCCCGGGTTCACGCCATTCTCCTGCCTCAGCCTCCTGAGAAGCTGGGACTACAGGCACCCGCCACCACGCCTGGCTAATTTTTTTTTTTTTTTTGTATTTTTAGTAGAGACGGGGTTTCACCGTGTTTGCCAGGATGGTCTCGATCTCCTGACCTCGTTATCCGCCTGCCTCAGCCTCCCAAAGTGCTGGAATTACAGGCGTGAGCCACCACGCCCGGCTTTTTTTTTTTTAATGGAGTCCTGCTTTGTCGCCCAGGCTGGAGTGCAGCCGTGTGATCTCGGTTCACTGTAACCTCCACTTCCTGGATTCATGTGATTCTCTTGCCTCAGCCTCCAGCGTAGCTGGGAATCCATGTGTGTGCCATC